AAGGCAGCCTACGGGCTATCTTACTCGGATCCGCCCCGGATTTGCTTCTACTAAGCTTAGCAAAATATCACCTATATGCGTTTCTACCCCCGGTAGGCGCTTACAGGTAGCTGGTATCCTTAATCCGATAGCTATTAATTATAAGAGGTAGTATCTTAAGTCTTAATATAAGTTTATACTAAGCTATAATATTATAAAGGTCCTTATCTAACTCGATCTCGTCGATAATAGACTTCTAGTACCGACGCTTAGCCTATCTAACTACGTTTTTAAAGGACTCTTAGAGGCGTTTAGTAGTAGAGCTAGCTTTCTTTATAGCCTTCTAGGCTAAGTAGGCTATCTTATACTCGGACGTCTACTATAGCGCTATACCTAACGCCGAGGGCCGGCGTCTAATAGTTTTTATAGATTCCGAGAAAATTATTATAAGTCGATTAGCGATACTATTAAGCTAGTATAGTTTTATAAAGGACTAAACGCTAGGTAGATAGGTAATATCTATCTATATTAGGCCTATAAAATAAGGAAAGTCCTTATCGAGAATTACTTTATATATAGAGGGCGCTAGGGTCGGTTTATCCGGATAAAAAATAATAGTAATTTATATTTTATAATCTAAACTATAATAGAGGTCGCCGCGGACCTCCGTTTTAATAAAGGTAATATTAGAGAAAGTAAGATTAAGGACGTAGCTAGCTATATATATTAGTACGCCTAGATCGCCGATAAAGTCTATATCTAAAGCGGCGGCCTACTAGATAAGTTCGCTACCCTAGTAGGCGTTAGCGACGCTAGGCTTAAAGATATCGTATTAAGTATTAAAGTCCCCTCTAATTAGGTATTTCGGGCTAGGAACGAGGTTAATAATATAATCGATAATTTATATTATAGTAGGCTACTAATAGGCGTTAAGTATTTTATACCCGTTAACGCTAATCTAAAGGAGATCGCGACTCTCTACTAGGTAGTATTATTAGGCCTAGATAATATTATATTTACGAACGTAAGTTATAATCTAAGGGCGTTCGGCTTTCCTTATTTATAGATCGGTCGAGTCCTAGATATCGACTAGCGCGTAGTAGTCGTAACCTAGATAGTTAGAGGTCTTAATATCTAGGAAAGTATAAGGTTCCTAGACGTAAACGACTTTATACTTAGCTTTAAAGGCTAGATAGAGTAAAGCTATATAGTAGGGAAGTAATTTCCCTATATTTACCTAGTAGACTATAAGATCCTTACTAGGCGGTTTATTATAGTATCGGCCGCGATATACCTAGTAAGGTTATTCTAATATTAAGAATATATTAGGTCGTCGGTCTCGTCTATCTCCATAGGGGCGGGGGATAGATTAGGGCCTTAGGAGGTACGAGTTCGAAGGGAGATCTTATTAAGACTACTTTTATAGATAGTACTATAGCGCTATCTACTATATATAATAGTCTACTATAGGCCCTTATCTTCTATAGACCTACCTAAGATAACTCGCTTCCTACTAGATTAGGAAAAGGCCTAGTTCTTATATAGTATATCTCGGCCTTAGGCTTATAGCTAGAAGTACGCGTCTTAGAAGTAGCGGTCTCTATAGTAGCGGATACTATTAAGCTCCTTCCTAGAGGGATATATAAGAATACCGTTCCTCCGCTTAGAGGTAGTAGGATAGAGATTATATCCTAAAGGATAAGGACCGTAATAATTAGCGTATCGTAGGTTATTTATATAATTAGGGCCCTAGGGGCCCTTATACGTATTAGTTCGTTCGCTATAGTAAGTATAGTAAGATACCCTAGTATACTTTAGTAGGAAGTAGTATCCTTAATAGCTAGGGTTATATTAGGCGGTCGGAGGCTTTTTATCGATAAGATAGGAGGTCTTTATAACGTTAAAGAGAGTAAAGGTCTATACTAAGTAAAAGAAGGAGATAATCTAGGTCGTAAGCCCTATAAGGGGATTAGGGCTATATTTAAAGGGGCGGTAGTTAATAGATTTAGCGCTAGCTTATATAGTAGCTTCGTCTACGATTAGGTCGGAGGTATTAAGTCGCGTACGGTCGAAAACGCCGACTATAATAGGGACGTCTTAAACCGCGTAGTTATACTATTTCTAGGAAATAGTGACTTTAGTAACGCCGAGGGCGCGGTAAATAGTATTAGCGCTCTCTAGCTTAACGAGTTTATCCTAGGTCGCGATATCGATAGGGGTAATAGCCTATCCTATATAGGTAGGTTCGATCTTCGGGATCTCTATAACTAAGTTTAAGCCTAGGACTAGTCTAGTAAGTATCTAGCGGACTATATATAGCTTAGAACGGTCGAAGAGCCGAGAGGGCTCGAGGATAATTAGGATCTAACGGATCTCGCGTTAATTAGTCGAAGCGGTAGAGCTATTATATACTATATTTTTCGACCTACTTATCTTAGTAAGGGGCGCGTTAGCTCCTAGATTTTTCGGGGTCTAGGCGATTTCCGTATAGGAAATAATTTTCCTAGAAGTAGTAGTAGGTAGGCTTCTCGCCTAGATAAGAATGTAAGATACGCTGTTAGTATTAGTATAGCTGCTTATAGAGATAAAATAGGTAAATCTAATATAGATATCCTAGGCGATAGCCTTTTTATTAGGCTATCTATTCTCGAGGATAAAGTAGTCGATAGTGTCCGCGAGTGCCTAGTAGACTTCTCTTCGTAGGTTAGACTTACGTTCGACCTCGTCGAGCTAGCTATAGATAGCGGTAGAAGCAGAGGTAGTTGTTGTTGTTATATTGATTAACGTCCATGTGGTGACGGGCGTAGCCCGTCTACCGACTACCTCCCTTAGGGTATCGGGACGTGCTAAGCTATAGTATTATATATATTAATATGCCTATAGAAAGCAACTCTTTTAAAGAAAAAGGGTGCTGAGTCCCTAGTTAGATGCCCGTCCTTCTCCGCTGGCTAAGAAAGATATAGTTAATATTAATAGTAGGGTAGTCCCGCTATAGGTTTTTAGGTAGTATACCCTATCTTAGGGCGGTATTACGCCTATATATTAAGGGGTAGGAAGCCGAAGCTACCCTTAATTCGCGCCCGTATAAGTAAAGAATAAGAGTAGTAAGAGAAAGTAAAGAGGTAAGTTAAGATAAAGGAGATAGGGAAAGAGGGCGAGGGGAGGGGAGAGGGGAAGAATATATAGTACGGGCCTAAAGGCCTTATCTTATATAAATAATAGCGTAGAAGCTAGTAACGCGTAGGAGCTCGTCGAACTTAGAGGGCCTAAGTCTCCGGAGGTAGGCTACGGCTACGTCCCGGCCTATTAGAAGGGAAGGAGGCCTATTAGGCTAGGCCTAGAAGCTATATTACGCCTTATAATAAAGTATAATATACTCTAGTATCTTAGCCCTCCTATAGGAGTAGGAGAGCTTAGTATTATTATATCGGAATTTACGATAGTACTAGCTAAAGTCCCTATACGAGGAGCGTAGAGCGAGCTAGCGGTATAGGGTAGGTCGACGGAGGTTAAGTTCTAGAAGGTCCTTAATTTTATATACCCCCTACTACTATTAATACTATACCGATAACTTTAAGGAGGCCCCCTACTACTAGGCGTAGCGGGCCTCTTTTTAAAGATCCCGGTATATAGAGCGGATTCTACTGATTATAGGAGAAGCCTAGGGGGCGAGTCCTTATATACCGTGAAGGGCGCCTTAGTTGGCAAGATGGTCAGCCGTATCATTGCCCTCGATGCCCGTATGGCCTAGGGACCATCGTACGTGGACGATCCGCCGGGCCATGATATTATGGCAGCGGATGAAGGCCCACTGCGAGGTAGGAGGGGCGTTGCCCCGAAGAAGCAGAGGTAGTTAGCGCGCTAGGACCTTTAAGGATTAGAGGAGGACTATAGGATTGCGGGTTCTTTATCCTCTTCGTAGTACGAAAGTTAGTAGGAGACTCCGTGGCCTAGGGCCTAGTGAAGTCAGAATCGTAGTCCGCGATGGGACGGTTAGGAGTTGACGGGCCTATGGATCCGGTTCCTCGCGGAAAACACGGTCGGCAAAGGCCGGGAATGAAAAGAGAGTAAGAAATGAGGTATCTGGGAGCTATTTGAGATCCTGGAGGGCCTAAAATGAAGGGTACCCCAATTTCGAAAATAGTTGTAAAGGTGCGGACCGCCAGGGCGACAAGAGGGAGTTATATATTCAGTCATGTGATCCTAAACAATCTATCTCATCCCTTAAAACAGTGACCAAATTGAATCTAACCATTATGTGAGCAGCATTGACATCGTTCTTTTTGCACCATTTCTCGAACAAGCGAGTGATTGTCTTCCTGCTTTTACCTATGGAAACCTGCCTACTACAACCTGATGGCTGGTCAAGCATTAACCCTCCCACTCCTTCGGGGCTCTATCACATTAGATGAAGCCCTTGAGCAGGAGGAGGATATGCTTCTCGACGTGTCTTATCCAGATTCCCGGATGGAATTCTTTGTATTTCTCTACAGTCATCGCAACGACATCGCAGCAGTCGTTTCAGACCATTTGGGACTAGGCCAATCCATCCATTGTCGCTTGGGAGAAGTAAGAGAGTGGATACATGGCAGCTTCAACGTTTGCATCCCTGCTTATGTCGAAAATTGGAACAACCATTCGGCAAAGCGAGTCCTCATCCGGTTCCCTCTGCCGTACAAAGTAGGGGAATCGACTTATCCTGGAAACGCCGATGAGAAACTCCGTTGTGAGGCCGCTACCTTCATTTGGATACAAAAGCATTGCCTTGATATCCCACTCCCTACCCTTTGGGGATTTGGTTTTCCTGGAGGTCAGACCGTATGCTATCGAAACACATCAGGGCGTTATGCTTAGAGACTAATGATCATTTCTCACAGTTCACCAGACCCGAACAAATGCCTGTGACGACCAGGGTGATTTGGTACCTCAAGCAATACGTATCATGGCTCTTGGGATTTCCGCTACCCTGCCCATATATAAGCTATCGTCGTCAACAAGTGCTAGAGCACGGTTATCTAATCATGGACTATATCGACGAGCCAGAGGTGCAGATGCTGTCAGAGACATGGGATGAGTTTCCCCACCAACCCGACAAAACAGCTAACTTCTACCGGGACCTATCTCGCATTATGCTTTCCTTGAGCCAATGTCCATTACCTCGGATAGGATCTTGGACGATAGACTCAGACGGAGTATTACAACTTTCCAATCGGCCGCTCACTCTTCGCCTCCATCAGCTGGAAAATGCGGGTATCCCAACTAATATCGGTCGGAATTTGACTTATCCATCCACTGATTCATATTACCTCGATATTTTGTCCTGTCATGACAGCCGTATACGACACCAGCCCAACTCCATGGATGACGAGGAGGACGGACGTGCCCAGATAGCGAACCTGAGCATCATGCGAGCGCTTCTTCCTCACTTCACCGACCGAGAGTTCCGCCAAGGACCGTTTTTCTACAAACTCACAGACTTACACCCAAGCAACATCTTCGTCGACAACCAATGGCATATCAAATATCTAGTCGACCTTGAGTGGGCATGCTCACTTCCATCAGAGACCTTGCGCCCTCCGTATTGGTTGACCGGTTGTGCTGCAGACAACATTCTTGGTGAAGACCTTGACACATTCAGCAAAGCATACGACGAATTTATGGAAATCTTTGAGGAGGAAGAGAGACGATATCCGCCTCTATTCAATGTCTGCTCGTATCGGACAAATATCATGAGAAAAGGCTGGAAAATCGGAAACTTCTGGTACTTCCAAGCCTTGGATAGTCCCAAGGGCCTATTTAACATATTCCGTGACCATATCCAGCCGAAATTCGCAATGTCTCAGAGTGCTGATCCATCAGAATTCTCGAGAATCGTATCCGAGTACTGGGCTGTAGATGCGAATGATGTTATGGCGGACAAGTTGAAAGATAAGGAGATGTACGAAAAAGAGCTACGCCTGCGCTTTCAAAATGGTTCTAATGGCACATGATACTGAAGCAGAGCAGCAATTCATTCTGCGAAGCAGACCATCTATATAGCATGGCCGGATTTACAGATGGTTTCTACAGGGTATATAAACCCCTGCATTATTAGTTTTAGCAATTAAGGATCTTTCTCCTGATTTTTCCCCACACATAGTAGTGATCTAAATCCATAGATTGCTCATCAGCTTCGCTTACGTCAGTTTCGTTGTTGGGCTTTCCGACACACTTCCGTACCCATGAAGACATCTTGGATAACGTAGCTGCCGCCGAGACCATATAGTATTATTTGGGTATTTCCGTGTAACAATACTTCGAGGTGTGTTACAACCTGCCCCTGGACTTGCGAGTTACACACTAGGCCAGAAGATCATTATATATGAGCAATTACGCTCAGATTCTCCAGGGTCCGATATATAATAGTGCATGACATGACAAGGTGGTGCGGCTGGCTAAATATCCTAATGTGGATCCTGCATATACTTCTAAGCTAGTAAAGTTGGCGTTTTATTTCATCACAACACTATGTTTTTCTTAATGAAGAACTTACAAATTGGTATATGCAATACAACATCGTGCTAGCAAAAAGATTAGCGTAGATATTTCTGACTAGATGGGTTAGTATAGGTGATATCACCGGGGGTAAAAACGGGCAACCGGAATAGAGGGAGGGAGGTCCTATAAGTTTCAAGGGAATAGTAGACTCAATATGATAGCAAAAACAAACAAAAACATACAACAGTGAGGATTCGCTGGTGGTCACCCACCCAACTACTAACTCACCGGCGTGTGGCTTAAGTACGGCTGAGCGGACGGGAAGCCCTGTTTTCCACACCCTGTGGTCGTATGTACCAGATTATGTGAAGGACGGAATGATAGAATGAGATGAGTACAATCAATTGTGAAGATATGGGGTTGTATAAGGTGAGAATGAGGTTGAATATAGCCCTGGGTCTGTTACGGTCAGCTGTGTTGGTCCTATCAGTTGACACGGACTGGGACTTTTAGATCGCAAGTCACCTGAAACAAGGTTCGTCCCTTGGGATTTGTACGTAGCGCTAAGATGCCATATATCCTGATAAAAACTAGATTGCCCATTCAGAGTCCACGTGTACAATCCATTGGGAATTGTTACACTGATAGTCAGGGGAAGGCAAGATCGTTTCTATTCGTAGCAAGCCCACGCTGCCTATGGAGGGGCAGCGGGTCTGTGCTGACTAACTACTATTATGTAACATCTGCCGCCGCCGAAAGGCTCGGCCGCCCCGGCCGCAGCGGGAAATGCGAGAAATATCAAATGAGCAAAGAGAAACATTATATGTAGATAAAGCGATAAGTAAAGCCTTCCCTCCATCGTCTACGATGTTGTCGTAGCAAGGAGTCATCGGCAGATGCTACGGAAGCAAGTTTGATCAGCCCGCCTGTGGCGAGTGGTCGGGCACGACGCTACCCTATGTCTTCCCGGTGTCTTTAGATGGCGCTAGGGTGCGAATTCGTGATGGTTCTACTACGACGCTTAGGTGCTATATAGGCAGTAGCTTCGCCTATTTATTACGTAGGTTAATAAGGATGCCGATCGTAGGGTCCTCCTGTCGTTCGTTGCTTATGGCTACGGAGAAGACCGATAGGCTCTATACGAAGCGTAGCGTATCCCGAATGTGTACGCTCTCCGCTTCTATTTTAATGCTCGAAAGCGTGTTGTTTATATATATAGGGAGTATTTATTGTCTAGTACGTTAAAATAGAATACTCGCTTCCCCGTCGTTTATATTATACTTACTGGCTAGGCGTAGGAATGTTAGGGCTTTCCTACTTATTACGTAACTAGCTGTAAGCGCTTCTAGACGGCTGGCCGCTATTATTAATACTAGGAACGATCGGGCTGCTTCTAGCCTCGCGAGGTTATAAAAGGATTGTAAGGTCGGGAGGCTCTGTTACGTTTCGGTTAAGTAAACTTCGGGTATAGGAATTATTGCGATATCAATATTCTACTCTGTATTATCTATTATTATAGCTACGTCTTTAGTTTAGACTTTAGCTCTGCTTACTAGTTATACTATATTGCTGTCCTCTAGCTCTAGGGTCGAATTAGTAATTAGGGTGGTAGCGGTAAGCGTTTTTGTTTTACGACGCTTCGCGGATATAACTACTATAGTTGTAGACGATCTCGTTTTGCGGTATCGGGACGAATGCGATTTCGTGATCTCTTCCTATATAAACGGAGTGCCGGTTCGCTCGGCGATAGTGGTTTCTTTTATTTAGCCGTCGCGTAGTGCCGCCTCGTAGTCTTCCTCTATCTAATTAGGGGTCCGTAGGCAAATCTCGTAGGGGTTATCTTTATTCGCGGATTAATAGATCTTAGGGTAGAAGTATTTCTATCCTTATAATATACCGATTATTCCTCCTTTTTCGGTAATAATAAGTACTAGGTAGTAAGCGCGCTGATTCCCTTCGAAGTAAATCTTATTATTACGGGCGTATACGGTCTATCTATTGATTAGCGGACTACCGGCTTAAGGTTCGTAGCTATCGAGCGTGATATTTATCGATATAGTAGGCTCCTTCGCTAGTAATACTAAGCCGGCTATAAAGCGGTTAACTAGTCCGGGGTTGCTGCTTAGCAGCTATCCGTAATTGTTTATACCGCCGGTAAAGGCGTACTAGTCCTTCTAGATAGGTATAGTCTTAAGGCCGTTCTATATAATCGTGATCGTTAGTCCGATAGGTACGCGTATTTTCCGGATCTCCTCTTTAGAGTCGAAGTCCTATAATAGGAAGGTTATACGGTATTACTTATCGTAGATATAGATCGATATAATTATAGCGTCGTCTATTAGGCGGACGTACTTCGGTTCCTAGAGCACGCTACCTAATCTATCGAAAAGTTGATACTATAGTAGTAGCGATATTAGTTTCTAGCTACTATATCCGCCGCGTTACCCTTTACTCTACTCGAATTCTTCGCCGTCGCTATTACTATCTATCTATCGGTTTATTACGTTTAGCTAGCTCCTAGCGAGCTATCGCGCGAATTTATTATTATACTATTCTTATAGCGGTTTGATTTCTAGCGCTAGCCTCTTTTCCTCCGGTATTAGGGTATCTATCTTAGTATATAGGGTCGATACGCGTATATAGATAAGATCGTAAATACGTATATAGATAAGATCGTAAATAAAGGTTAATAGAAGTAAGTTAGTAACTTAGAAGTAAGTAAGATAGGATTGAGATTAGTTAGATTCGGATTAGGAGTTAATTAAAATTAGAATAAGAATTAAAATTGTTTATAGATTGGTATAGGTATAATGATTCGAGTAAGGAGGGAGTAAGAATAGGAATAGTAGAGGTAAATTGTTAGGAAAAATGTGAAAGTAAGATTCGTAAAGAAGGTTTTATTTATAGTGTCAATTTATACCGTCTTAGTAAGTAATACTATTATAAATAGATTAAGCGTTCTTTATTATCGCTATCGGTTAAACTCGTCGATCGCTTCTTCTACGCCGACTACGTCTCTTTCCTTAACCTATTCGGCTTCCTCTCTTAACTAGCCGCGCCACTATATTAGATAGTCTATCTAGGGTATTCTATATCGTCCCGCGCGGCGTATCCGTACGTCGAGGACCCGTTCTACTTCGTAGCGGTCGGTATTATCTAGGAAGCGTTCGTCGAATATAGCTTCTAGTTCTACGGCTTCCCTATCGAATAGGTTTGGGCTAGGCGCTAGTTCTAAGTGTTTGATACTAATAACTAGGTATATCTTCTATACTATAGGAATATCGATCCGGTAAGCGAGTCGTCTAATACGTTCTAGTACTATAAAGTATCCTACGTACTACTATCCTAGCTTCTTAGTATATATATTATTAATAGGAATATTATAACCTTTCTATAGCCGGAGTAGTACTCTATTACCTACTACGAAGTACTTCGGTAGGTAGGTACGGTCGTAGTACTCCTTTATCTTAATAGCCGCGTACTTTAGGCATTCGGTAGCGTTTTAGCGAGCTAAGGTATCTTACTATCCGCCTAGTACTATCTATAGTAGGTTCTATAGCATTCGAAGGTTTACGCCGAATAGGAGCTTATATAGTATCTCGCGTATAGCTACTAAGACTAAGCTATTTATTGCTATAATTAATCCTAGTAGGCCGTTCGGCTAATCTACTACGCGGTAGAGAGCGTAGTAGTAGCGGAGCTAGATCTCGGTAGTTTAGTTAGTCCTTTCGCTCTATCCGTCTGCTTATATATAGTAGGCCGTAGTATAGAATAGTAAGACTTATAGTATAGTGAATATAGCTTTCTAGAATCCTTTAGTAAATTTAGGATTACAGTCGCTAATCTATACCGTAGGAATACCCTAGTCTACTATCTATAAGAATACTAGTACTACTAGGGCCTATTCTTCGCTCGTCTAGGTTAATTTCCCTAGGACTACGCCTAGACGCTTTATAAATTTGTATATTAGGTATACTACTATATCGAAACCTTCCTTAGATATTAGTAGCCCCGTAATAAAGTCGATATAGATTATATAGTATAGTATCGGTAGGGATATAATTGGTTATAAAGTACCGTATAGTCGGTGCCTTCTTATATTATTACGTAGGTACTCGGGATAGTATTTGATATACGTCTTTAGTTTATATATTCTATAGTAAATCACTAGTCCGGCTATCTTTACTTTATATTGTTTAAAGCCTTAGTATCCCTAATCGTCGTAGATAAGCTAGAATATATCCTTCCGAAGTGATTTTAGAACGTATAGCTAATAGCTACCGTCTTCCTATAGCGAGTATAGTAGCCTATCTTTTATAACGTATAGTAGTTTCGCTACTATATCGTCTCCTTCGTTTACTACGTCTTCGAGCTCCTAAATAACCGTCTTTTAGCGTAGGTTAGTCTCGTAGTTATCTTTGACTTTCGCTTAGAACTCGTCGCTTAATTAGATCGCGGAGGTTTGGAGTATATAGGTAGCTAGATCGTAGTCTCGTTCGTTTGTTCGTATACC